TACTAATTGGGCATTATGTAAAATTGTGGATGTGTAACCTATGTGATTCTGCAATCTGCATTTGGAGTAAAATTGGGAGTTCATAACCCACTTCAAGCTAATGTATGAAATATGATATGTCAAGAGCTTTGTAATGTTGTGAACAACCAATAAAAAAAATAAAAAATTAAAAAAAAATAAAAAAAGAACTTTCTTCGAATAATAATAATAACAATGAATAAATAACATTTATTTGATGCTTACTATTAATTGGTATTTTGTAATATTTTCTCACATAATCTACCAAACAATTTCTGAGACAGTTTCTAGTGGTGGGGGAAAAAAAAAACAGATTCAGCAAAGTTAAGTGACTGGTCCTGGCCTACATAAGAAAATTCTCTAAGGTAGTTGGCAGTAATAGCAACAGGCTCTTAGAGAAGTAAACAGATACTACCTGAAATCTGTGCTATTTCTAGCCAGCAGCTCCCATTGGAAAATACCAATAGGCAATGGGAACATAGTCACATTCTGAAAATAACAAAGAACCACAGATATAAATTAGAGCACATGATTGTCAAGCCTTTGGATGTGACTGGCAAATAAAAGACAATTTTACCTTTTTAAAATTTTTTTTTTGTCCCAGGGATTGAATTCAGGGGTGTTTAACCAACAAGCCATATCCTCAGCCCTTTTTCTTTTTTATTTTGAGATAGGGTCTTATTAAGTTGCTTAGGGCCTAAGTTACTGAGACTGGCTTTGAACTTTAGATCCTTCTGCCTCAGGCTATCTAGCTGCTAGGAATACGGGCATGTGCCACAATACCTGGCCAATTTTACCACCTGGAATGAGAAGGCACTGGGTTTGAGTCTCAGCACCACATATAAACAAATAAATAAAGGTCTATCAATAACTAATAAAAATTTTTTAAAAATACTTAAGGAAAGGCTTCTAAATTTTTAAAAAAAGCATACTTATTGAAATTATGTGCCTGTGTCTAAATTATGCTCCCCTGATATAGAATGTCAGGGTTGCTGTATTTAGATATTTGTGAGATTTTCAAAATTTAAAAAAATTAAAAAAAATTTTAATTAGTTATATTTGACAATTAAAACTTTAATTTTAACTTTAGCCTTTGTTAAGAGATTTATACAATGCTTGTATCAATAAAAGTGCTATATACTAATGGCTCATTTCAAAGCAGATGTTTCCATCTTATCATAATATTTTAAAATTCATTAAGTTGATTTGGAAGGAAAAGAAGCAAAAGGAGAAATAATAAAAAGTCCTGTATTGGCTGTAACCTAAGACTCACTGCACTTGTCAGAGAAGACACACTAAGAGATACGAACAGCACAGTATGGCTATTAAAAAACAAATGAATTTCAGGTAGGGCACATAAATCTAGTTGACTTAATTTTGGATATCTTTCTTACCTGATAAAAACCATAGATGTTGTGAAGTTCTCTGTGCTCCCAGTTGCCATGATGAATGGCATTCTTTTGCAGTGTTAGCTCAGGCCCTCTAAAGACTGAGGGTTCATTCATGTCATTCCATATGAAAAGGATATCTGTAGATCCCTAGGAAGCAAATCCTGGTCATAAAACACTACCACAGTGATGATGTTACTATAATAGCGTCCCTATTTTTCTTTTCTACCCCCATTTAACTTACTTATTTATTATGTTTTTTGGAAAGGGAATTGTGTCTATTTTGTTCATTGATAAATCTCAAACTCCAAAAATAGTACCTGGCCTACAGAAAGTTCTCAATAAATATTGATTAACAAATAAATGTTGTCTACAAAATATACATTGCCCAGCAAGTTCACTCCAAGATCTCCCTAGAGACCCCTACTGGAAAGGTTATGAATTTTCACAATTAGGCTCTACAGCATCCATCATAGGCTACAACTCTTAACTAAAGGCAATTATAGCTATATATAGAAGATTCTATCTTCTCTCTAAAACTCTGAAAGATTTGGCAGCTCAGATATCTGTGTTTGTTACCATGATCTACATTTAGTGTTGTATGTAGAATTGTTCAGAGTAGGAAGGAACAGGTGATTCATCTAGTTAACATCTTGTTGTAATTCGTTTTATAGAAATCTCTGGTCTCTCAGCATTTGGCTAAATAGCTACAATTATAAGAACTCCCTTGGGCAGCTCATTCCATTATTTTCCAAATGTCTTGTTCCTTGCAATATCACCTCACAAGACCTAGCTTCCCTTCTCAGACACCATAATATCTCTTCAATTACTCAACTCTGCCATACTAGTGTGAAAACAGCCTTAGAAAACAGTGAAGTGAATGAGCATAGCCATATTTGGTCCAAGGGTGGTTGTCTATCCCTACTTTAAGTTATTTACTAGTATCCTAATATATGATGCTCAGAAACTAATGTCTGATGGTTAAGAGCTGGGCTTGGCAGACAAACAGTCCTGAGTTCAAATTCTGGGTCTATCACTTGCTAGATGGGTGACATTGGCAGGCTTACAAACTCTCCATTACTTAATTTTCTTATCTGTGGAATTATATTTAGTTAGAGCTCCAATTTCAGAAAATTATTGTGAAGAAGAAATGGTATAATGCACATAAAGTGCTTGACATGTATTCATTTTGGTTTAGGTTATGACCATCAGCATCACCACCACCACCATTATCAGTATCAAAGTAAATGGTTGAGAACAGTTCTTCAGATGTGGCTGCTCCAGTTTTCTCTGTGGTTCTTATAATATTTTAAAATAATTATTATTCTTTGCTTTTAATGATACACTACATTTCACATTTACCATATCTTTAAATATATTTATAGATTGCTTATTTTATATAAAATGTATATGGTAATTTTGAAACATAATAAATACCTGTTATAATGTACATTGATATATCACAGAGTATGTTATAATAGTGGTTAAAAATCACAGCCTTTGTGCCTTTAGTTATGCACATGGCACCTCTCCTAGCACCACCAAAGTCTGTAATGTATTGGTCATCCTTGCCTTTTCACACAAGCATTATATAACAAGAGCTATTCAAAGAAGCAAAACAGTTCTATTCACTTTCTTTCTTTCATCCTTTAAAATCAACTAGAAAAGAACAAAAGAATAAAGACCTACCTGATAAACTGGGAAAGCAAAAAGACCCGAATACCATTCTCTGACCTTGGAATTGGTGAAATCCAGGTAAGAAGAGAGACCTGGAGAGACATAATAGTAGATAGTCTGTTAGGAATAGGGGTCATCACAGTAAAATGTGTCATAAAGAAGGTATCAGATGTGAGAACCAGATAATCAATGGGCACTTTACAACATTCCTAAAAGATAGGTGAGAGAGGCATGGTCTCCAAGAAGTGAATGAAGGTTCTACTGCACTCCAGTGAAAATCACTAGACCTTTCAGCACCAAAGGCTCTGGGAAATGCCAGTGGACAAGATCAAGACACAGCATGTCCCTCTCTGATGGCCTAAGATAGCCCAGGTATTCTTCTCCTCCTCCTCCCCCTCCCCTCCCCCACCTCCTCCTCCTTCTTCTTCTTTTTTAAGACTGAGGATTAAACCCAGGGGTGCTTAACTACCAAGCCACATCCCTAGCTGGGATAGAAGAGCAAAGAACAATCACAGGATAGAACCTGCAGGATGCTTTTTTTTCTTTTCCTCTTCCCTTCCCTTTTCTCCTTCATTCTCTCTTTCTCTTTCCCTCCCTCCCTCTCTCCCTCTTTTTTGTTACTGGGGATTGAATCCAAAACCTCACACATGCTAGGCAACACTCTACCATGGCGCTATACTCCCAGTCCTTTAAAACATTTATTTTGATTCAGGGTCTTGCTAAGTTGCTGAGATTGGCCTCAAACTTGCAATCCTCCTGCCTCAATCTCCCAAGTTGGATTATAGGCATGTGCTATGATTCCTCTACTTCTTATCTCTATTTGTTTAAAGAAATATGCATGCCACTGAGGTTTGCTTATTTGTTTATGTTACATTCATTCAATTACTGATTAATAAATATATCCGAACATATTTTTCCAACGGTACCAGGTTGTTATAGTTTAGATCTTATATGTCACCAAAAGCTCATGTGTTGAAGGCTTGGTCCCCAGCTAAGAGATGGTTGAAACTTTAGGAGGTGGGACCTGGTTGGAGGAATTAGGTCATTGGAGCTGTGTCCTAGAAAAGTATAATGGGACTCTGTCTTCTTTTTCTCTCTTGCTTTCTGGTCTCTGTGAAGTGTGCAGCTCTCCTCTGCCATATGCTTCCATTATGATATACCATTATGATATACTGCCTTGGCACAGGCCCAAAAGCCATGGGGCCAAATGATTCTGGACAAAACATCTGAAATTGTGAGCTAATATAAATATTTTTTCCCTTCAAATTAATTTCTTCAGGTATTTTGTCACATAGGGAGAAAGCTGACTAACACACAGATGTTATGAAAGATACAAAGAAGGCAATACTTTCTTTCCTTGAAGGTGCCTAAGATGTAAGTAGAAGAGTAGATACTTACTAGAAATGAGAACAACAGCCATGTAACCTTCATTAATTGGTACTAAATAATTGGAAATAGTAAGTATATAAAGCAATATCATACCAGGCCAGCATACTCCTTCAAAGTCACTCCCTTCACGATTTCTCACAAAAAAGCCCTGTTCTTTGGCCTTAGTGTAAACTGAGTAGTCAGGATCAATCTTGATGTGGGGGTCACTGATGACCACAAGCTGTCAGGACATAAAGGTTTGAAGATATCATCAAGTTTTATGGTTAGACTTAATATTCATTTATATGTCTTCACCATAGTTTTAGAGTAAAATTTTATTTTGAAACAATTACAACTCATCCTGAAATATTTCATACATCAGTAAAACTCTATAGTCTTCTGTGTGCTCAGAAAAATTAAAACTGATATCAAAACCAGGCCAATCAAAACCAATACCAATGCTGCTATGAATATAGGTGTACAAATATCTGTTTGAGTTACTGCTTTAAGTAAGTTCTTTTGGGCATATATCCAGAAATGGGGATTGCTGGATTATATGTTGATTCTATTTTTAATTTTTTTTAAGAACTGCCATATTGTTTTCCAAAGCAAATGTACCATTTTACATTCCTGTCAACAGTACACAAGTGTTGCAATTTCTCTACATCTTCACCAATACTTACTTACTATTTCTTAAATAGTACCCCTCCTAATGATGTTAAATGGTATTTCACAAATAAATGTTTTGATTTGCACTTTCTAATGATTAGTGATGTCGAGCATCTTTTTGTATGCTTGTTGGCAATTTGTCTGTTTTCTTTGGAGAAATGTATGAAGTTTACCCATTTAAAAATTTTTGCTGTTGTTGTTAAGATGTAGGAGTTTCTTATAAATTCTGGCTATTAACCCCCTTTTAAGAAGCTTTTAATATCTCCAAATGTATCCAAAGAAGCCTATAATAAGGCCCAATCTTTCTGGATAGATTCCCTACTATTCAAAGCTTCACATGCTTTGCTCTTTCAAAACAGCCTCTGTTTAGCTTTCAAACATCCATCAATGCTCCATCCTCTGATTACACTGCCTTCTTCCTTCCCTCTTTTCCACTAATTAGAGACTCATCCTTCAGGGGTACCCTACAATATACCTGTGACACAAACTCCTGACTTGAGTTCTCCAGTAGGCTAAAATCTTCCCTTTCTTGGCCCATTCCCACTCCAAACTTTCTTTGGCTCTCATGTTACTGCCCTGTATTGTGGTTACTGCATACTTGCCTTTCCCCCACTTGCTGGAAGACCCTGAGGAGCTCATCTCTGCATTCCCTTCAGTACTAGCACAACCTCTTGAATGTTCAGAGGCCTCAAAAAACAACCACAGAAATTTCCACAAGGACAGAAATTTCTAGAGCCAAGCAGACCAGTGTTGATTCTTGCTATGCTACTTATTCACCATGTGAAAATTACCAAATCACTCTAAGTCTCAGCTTCTTTATCCAAATAATGTGGTAATAAGACTATTATAATATATTTTATTACACCATCTACCTTATAGTAACTACTTAACAAATGATAGCTGTTTTAGAGTTAACAAGATTGATTCTAGAGACCAGTGAGAAGTTTGAAGATCAAAGGAATGGGTTGAAAAGGCAACTTTAATACTAAGGAAACCGCCCACACAAGCCCTTGTAGGACCTACACTCTCAGTAGGCCCGGTTTATACTCCCTGGTGGGGCAGACATCTGCCAATGCATTCTGCTGTCATATATAAATAAAAAAATTAACCAAGTAAACATAGATGTTATACTACATGTTATACTACTACATGTGCACATATTGATGGAAATAAAATTATTTTTATGAAAAAAACAAGGGGAGGGATTGTATCTATTTATATAATGTATATGGGGTTCACCCCCTTCTCCTCTCTCCATTTTCTTTTCTCCCTCACTCTCTTTATTAGAATAATCACTGCCACGTCCATACAGGAAAGAAGCACTCTACACTTTCTGATGATTCCTCCTCTTCTCCATTTTCTATCATTTCTTTTCTTGGTCAGACTTACTAAAGAGTCTACCAGGGAAGCCTGAGAAAAAAAGAATAATAAAGAATCTGACTCCATTTTTTATATTTGGCTGTTCAGGATTTTCAAGCCCCACCATTCCCTCTTACCTTTCTGCCCACATCTGGGTAAGCTGACAGGAAGTCCTGGTGCTCCCTCATTTGGTGCCAATAGAAGGTTCAAAACATGCAATGCAAGCCCTAGCCCATAGGTAACAATCCTTACCCTGGAGAGTGAGTGCACTCTAGCGCCACCCTCTAGCCACCTAAGAGTCAGTCTCCTTTCTCAGCAATCTATGGTCATTTTCAAATCATCTTGGGAGCTGACCCTATTCTCCCCAGAAGGCCTCATTTTGTGATGAACTTTCTCATACATTCTTGGTGCATGTGTACAGTATTATCAAATTTCATACTAGAACAAAAGTTTGGTATGGTTGGGAATCCATCATGTTACTACAGGGTAGCCAAAAAAAGAGAACTGAAAATGCTAGGCCCCTTCATCATTCTGTAGACATAAACAACTAAGGAAGGGATGAATGGAGTTAATACCTTTTCACCATTCGATTTCTGTTATCACAATTATAATTACATTTGAAAGTACCATTTTCATGGACTATTTTTTTTTATTAAATGGTCTTCTTCCACTAATGTACCAACACAAACTTCAAATAATTTTAAAAGCTTTGTAATGAAAAGTTTAAAAATGTTGGCTTCTTCTACCTTACGTTTTTTGCTCCTGAGCAGCTCTTGCATCCTTTTGGGGTTTGCAAATCTTTTTTTATCCCAGGTGAAGTACCTCTTGCCCTCAGTGTGCTCTATGTCCAGCCATATGACATCATAAGGAATATCATGTTCATCAAATCCTGCATCCACTGCCTTTACATCTTGCTCATCTTCATAGTTCCAGCGGCACTGGTGATATCCCAAGGAGAACAGAGGGGGCATGGCTTGTGTGCCTAAAGACAAAAATGAGAACTGAGTCAACTACCATAACAATGATCATCATTTGGTGAGCATTTTCCCAACGGGTACTAGTAAGCACTGAGCTTGTACATACATAGAATATCAAGGAGAAGAAAGCATAGCTCTTGCTTTCAAGGAAGTAACAATTAGGGTGATAAGCAAGCATATAAATAAACTGCTTTGAATTGAGGTATAACTGCTATGTTAAAGGTATCAGCCTAGTGCTTTGGGACCAATTATTGGGAAACCAATGAATTCTTCCTTGAGTTAAGTGTGGGGTCTTGAGAGGCTTCAGAGAACAGGTAATACTGGTTTGGATTCTTATGAATAAACATAAGTATACCCTATAGGGAAAAAAAGAGCATACAGGCATAGGGAACAGAAGAAACACAGAGGCAGATATGCACATGACAGGCTTAGGAAAAAAATAAATATTTCAGAGTGTTACAGTGTGAGGGAGATAAGTAAAGGATGAAACTGGAGAGGATCAGTTTGTATAGGGTCCTTTAGTTCAGGTTAGCAATTCTGAATCTTCTTTTATAGGAGTCATAAAAATTTGGCAAAATGTAACCTTCCTGATCTTTATTTTAAAAACTGATGTCAGGGAGCACTGTTGAATCTGACTTAAAGGGAAACAGAAGTAAGGAAGAACTGTCAAGACATTATTGTCAAAACATTTACTTATACTATGGAGGACATTTGGTCAACCACTTGGATATACCTTGTTCCTCTCCCAAAGTCTTACTAAAATCAAGGTAAAGAAAATAAAAAATGAATAAAGCCATAAAAACAGAATGGTGAAAGAGTAACTTCAACAAAACAAAACAAAACAAAATGGAAAGAAGAGGGCAGGAGAAGGATGGTAACTGCTGAGCACAGCCAGGGAAGCTCTCACCTGAGTGCTTGAGGGAAGCATACTGATGAAGAAGAAAGCTCGACCCTGTCCCTAGTATACAAGAAGACAGAAGAATATTCCAACTCCCACCCCTATACTGGACTATAAGATCATTCAGGCACACAGAACTTCTAGGCTGAACCACATTTTTAGAAAAAATTTTATGCCTTTATTTGTTTATTTATTTTTATGTGGTGCTGAGGATCGAACCCAGGGCCTTGCATGTGCTAGGCAAGCACTCTACCACTGAGCTACAATCCCAGCCCCAGGCTGAACCACATTTGAGGAAAATCTCTAAAATTAGATTCAGAGGCCCAAGTAAAGAAATAGAATAAAAGTACCTCTGAGAAAACAGTAACAGTGTAAGCAACCAAAGTAACAATCATCAAAACATTATCATTAGTATTTCTGGAGATGAAAAAGAATTTGTACCCATAATACACAAATATAATAGCATAAACCAAGCATGGGGTGTTATTAACAAGTAAAAAATTAGAGACTAAGAAAGTACTCTTTGACATTAGAAATAGAAAAGAATAAATGGAAGGTCTGAAAGACAAAATTGTGAAAATTGCTCAGAAAATAGGCAAAAAAAGGGAAAGGAGATCAAAAAAATCTGTAAAGGAGAAAGGGAAAAAGGAGAGGAAGAAATTATGAAAGGAATAACCTAAGGTTGTATTCCTGAACTAAACAACAAAATTCTCAAGATTGAAAAGGTCCACATCTAAAACCCAGCATAATAACAACAATAATTATTATTATTTTCCAGTACTGGGGATTGAACCCAGGGTTGCTCTACCAGTGAACAATATACTCAGCGCAGCTTATTTTCTTTTGAGACAGGGTCTCACTAAATTGTTCAGGTTTATCTTGAACTTATGATTTTCTTGCCTCAGCTTCCCAAAGAGGAGTAGTAAAAGTGGGAAGCCTATCTTGTTTCTGATATCAGAGGAAGCTGATAGGTTTTCCTTTCTTTTTGTGGTACTGGGGAATGAATTCAGGGTGTTGTGCATGTAGACAAGTGCTGTATCACTAAATTATATTCCCAGCCCAAGTTTGTAGTCTTTTAAAGATAAAATGCTTTATTGCTAAAACTAGTGGGTGAGTTTTTTTTTTTTTTTTTTTTCCACTGGGAATCAAATCCAGGGGAGCTTTACTACTGAGCAACATTCTGGCCATTTTCATTTTTCTTTTGAGTTGCTTAAGGCCTTGCTGAATTGCTGAGATTGACCTTGAACTTTCTTTTTTGTACCAGTGAGTGATTCCAGGAGTGCCTAACCACTAGTGCTACATCCCCAGGCCTTTTTTGTATTTTATTTTGAGACAGAGTCTCACTTTGTTTTGAACTCCTGATCCTCCTGCTTCAGCCTCCTGCACTTGGGATTACGAAGTGTGAACCACCATGCCTGGTTTGACCTTGAACTTTCAATCCTGCCTCAGGCCTATTAAGTTTCTGTGATTATAAGTGTTAGGGACCATGCCCAGCATTTTAATGGTATATTTAAATGGAAAAAAAAAGCATGGAAAAGTTCAGGTTGGAATATTGGTTATGTAAATTATATAAATTAGATAATACCCAGGGACTAAATGTGCCAAGGAAAGTAGATGGTGAGTATTAGGGATTAGAGTGTACAGTTCTAGATTCAGTATAATTTTTAACTGTGCTAAGTGGTATGAGGGTGGGAAGGGGAATACTTGCTACTTAAATTGCTTAGGTAAGTTGTTTATAAGTCCTACATAATGTACAATAAATATTAACCTTCAGTGATGATACATGAGATAGAGGAAACATAATGGAACTATAAAATGGCACCTCTACATGCAAACCTGTAAGGTAGGAGTACTGCTTGAAGACATCAGAAGGTGTAGGTCCTGTCAGCAGAAAAACATCAATGATTCCACTCTCTGATATCCAGCACACATCAGTTTGAGATATGACCTTTTGTTTAGCAGCAGCTGGGCCCACCTGTGTCCATGTATACTGGAGAAGAAATAGAATAAAAGTTTGAGAAATTTCCTCTAAACTATGATACCAATTGTATGTAAATCCACTCCTTTAGATAGTACTGACCTTCACTGATTACACTCAAAGCTTTTGGTGGCAAAAAACTGCCACCAAAAAGAAAAAAAGAAAAGCTAGCAGTGATTTTATTTTTTCTCTAAGTATGACATACAATCATGATCCACAGCTTACCTCTACTGAAGGTTGTGTATTGATCTCCACTAGTGTTTCTGAGGCATTCAGCCAGAAAATGCCTATAGTCCTGCCCAGTTTGTGGGCCAAGAGATAAGGCACTGAGCCATAAATGCCCATTTTGTCATGTATTTTATATCCATAGACATCCAGGTTATAAAGACGGTAGGCATCTCCATCCCTAAAACATAAATGAGGATTATCATCAAATACCATTACAAATGTATAAATAACGAATAGGACAGCTCCACTCTCCACTTTCCACTCTCCATGCAAACACTTAGGTCCTATGCCTCTTCTAAGACTTAACACTACTTCCCTAAAATGTTTCCTGACACAACCTGGACAAATGTTGTCTCCCTCCTTTGATTCCTTTGGCACCCCCTACCGTGACAACTGGCATAACTAAGCCCATATTTCTGATCTCTTTTCTAAATATCTCTTGTGAAAGAAGGATAATCACTTGTGAATCTTCCATAATAGGAAGCACACAATACACATCCACTCACAGATTTTGTGAGTTAAGTTTCTATAGCTAAAACAAAAGGATAGTGTTCTTAATAGACTTCCACAGAGCTGGTAGGGAAAGATCAAGAGCTGACTGGGGTGGGGGCACAGAATTAGGTTAGTATGAGAGTAGCACAATTTTTTTATGTTATTTGTTCTTTTTAATTACACATGATAGCAGAGTTTTATTCTGACATGTTTATTCACACCTGGAGTATGTCTTATTCTAATTAGGATCTCAGTCTTGTGGATGACATGATGTTGAGATGTGATGTATTCATATTTGTATATAGGAAGGTCATGTTAGATTCATTCCATTGTCTTTCCTATTCCTATTCCCCCTCTCCTTCCCCTTTGTATAATCCTCTGAACTTCTATTCCACCCCCTCCTGCCCATTGTATATTAGCATCCACATATCAGAGAGAACATGCACCCTTTGATTTTTTAAGACTGGCTTATTTCACCAAGTCCATCCATTCACTAGCAAATGTCATAAAGCCATTCTTTTTATGGCAGAGTAATATTCCATTGTGTATTTATACCACATTTTCTTTACCCATTCATCTATTGAAAGGCACCCACGTTGACTTCATAGCTTAGCTATTGCAAATTAAGTTGCTGTAAGCATTGATATGGTTCTGTCACTGTAGTACCCTGATTTTAACTCCTTTGGATATATACCTAAGAATGGCATAACCAGGTCAAATGGTGGTTCCATTTCTAGTTTTTTGAGGAATCTCCATACTGCTTTCCAGAGTGGTTGCACCAATTTGCAGTCCCATCAGCAATGTATGAATGTACCTTCCCCCCCCCACATCCTCAAACATTTGTTGTTGCTTGTATTCTTGCTAATTGCCATTCTGACTGGAGTGAGATAGAATCTCAGTGTAGTTTTAATTTTCATTTTTCTAATTGCTAGAGATGTTGAACATCTTTTCATATTTTTTGACCATTTGTATTTCTTCTATGAAGTGTCTGCTCAGTTCCTTTGCCCATTTTTGATTGGGTTATTTGCTTTTTGAATTATTTACATATCCTGGAGATTAAGAGAGCAGCACAGGTTCTAATGGACTCATTGTGCCTGTTAAATAAACAAAATCTGATCCTTGAAATCTGGATTAAACTCTGTTTCTCTTTGGTTTTGTCCTAGTCTGATGCCTCTGGTTATTGTCTATTAGTGTTAACCTGAAATGACCTTCCCCAGGGAATCAGAGGTTATTTGAAATGCCATTTTCTGTCTCACTATCCCCTTCAGAAGTAAGTGTGTTTTACAGATCAGTGATTTTTCACAGTATATTCTCTCAGGGCTTTACAAAAAGGCCTTGTGAGGTAAACATAAAGCCTAGGGATAAAGATCTCTCTCCAACTTAGACTGCAGCAGTTTCTAATTTTTACTTCTTCTATATTGTTAGGTTCAATGTTATAGTTTGTATACTTATCTGATGCCAAGAATTGAACCCAGTGCCTCACACATACTAGGCAAGTGCTCTACCACTGAGCCACACAACCCTAGCCCTCAAAGAAGGTTCTTAAAACTCTACAAATAATATTAAATCAGAAACTCCTGTAAGGATTCTTATTTTCACATACCCAGTATTTTTAAGTTGGTGTGATTCTGCATGTTGTGGGATCCCATAGAGATGTTCAAATCCATGTAAGGAGAAATCCAAACCAATGGAGGTAGGACCTGTAGAGCCCAGGATACCAACTGAGTTTTGCTTCTCAAGAGGACAATCAATTAAGGAGATTCAGTTAACAACAGTGTAGCAAGACAACTAGACCAGGTGTAGAAAGACCTGAACTTGCTCTGATAAATCAGTAAATGCTCTGTAAGGACTCTCTGTAAGATGTTATATTCAGGTATTTTTGGGATACAAAAAATGTATATATAAGACAAAGCTCTGGTCTCTTATTATATTGCCTTAGCTGTGTGCTAAAGCTCTCTGTGTCTTCATTTATAAACAAATTCCTTTATTACCTGTAAAAAACAAGGTTATAAAGTTTTAGATTTTTCTTAAAATTTTGCTAAAATATATTGCATATAAATTTATATACCTATAATATATAAATTTCCTTTAACCAAACACTCCTTTATTTAACAATTAATTTAACTTCTTTATCTAACAATTAATTTAGAGATAAAAGTGTAAATTAGTAGGAGACAAAATATTTACTTAAATTCATACCTAAGTTAAAACTATTTTACATATCACTTATAGGATTTTTTTTGGGGGAAAAGAATGCTAAAGTAAAAAAGATTATGATGTCACAGAAAGGAGAGACAGAACCGTATCCTTCAAATAAATTTTGAGCATTCTGTTAGCCCTGATCATTATACCATGCTGTAAATATGTAGAGCTAGAACAAGGATTCTCAGAGAATTAGGGAAGGTTTGTATTCTACAGGCAGGGAGAAGGGAGAAAAATGAGTATTTTTCTAACCACATATGCCCATATGAAAGGGAACTCCTGAGAGATAGACTCTATGTCCTCCTCTAACCCCATCACTAAGCCTGGTGATAAATGTCACAGATGGGCACATGACACCTATGTGAATGATGGGGAGACCTTGAAAAGGTTAAAAACTGCCTTGGAATGTTGATGCTGATACATTCTATAATTTGGTTTCTCATTACTTGAATCTCATAAAAATAGAATGCAGAATTTGTAGCTGCTTGTTCAATTGGACAGTACAGCAGCATGATAAGCTAGACCCCTCTGCAGGGCCTGTACTTTTCTTACACCCCCTACACTAAAAGCATATAATTACCATTTCTTTGTTGCAATGCAATACTGAAGGATAGAGGACACAAATTTGAGATTTCTGTTCACTTTCAGAAATCACTTGTTTAGGTGCCAAAACTCACGGAACTTTTAGGTAGATACTTAGCCATTTTGAAGTTAGGCCAGTTTCAATTTACCATTAGCTTTGACATCCACAAAACTTCCAAATTTCTCTTCCCAAAGGCCTAGATCCTCTTGATTTTCCTGTTAATAAAAAAGGGGAACTAATTGAATTTATAAATTGTAACAAATGTGGTCGCCACTCTTATAGGCTTATGCCCCTAATTATCAGGAAGTAGTTAATGATTTGAGTTCATTGCCCCTAATCCCCTATATGTCTTAAGTTCTCCAATCTTTGAGAGGAAAATGTTAGGTAGCAGCTAGTAATGAGTAGTGAAATATAAACCAATAGCATAGCAGGATCACAGGGTTTCTTTGAAATTGCCTTTAATGAACAATCAAGTAACTTATAGAAGAACAACAGGTGTACTAACCCAGAGAATAAGCAGGTAGAAACAAAGGGAGTCAATTAAGAAATATATCAAGAATGAAAGATCAGTGGGGATAACTCCAGGCAGGTATATTGAGGTCATTGTGAAATTAGGTTTTATGGACATATGTTTCTCAATCTATTTCAGAAGGGAAATTTCATTAATAGCATGGTGCACTAAAATGAAGTCTGCTTGATTATTGACCCCCAGAACCCACATTAACAGAGAACTGACTGGTATTGAATAGGATGGTCACTAGGACAGATCTGGAAAGAACAATCCAGGGTCAAAAACTCCCCAGCCTGAGGTGAAGGAGGAGATAAAACATCTGATTGGTAAAGACTGCAGAAGGTGGTATCCAGTTCTTCTGACAAACATCAAACAGTAATAAACTTGGAACCTACATTGTTTCCTTTATTATTCACTTCCTTTTTTTTTTGGTGTACATAGACACAATATCTTTATTTTTATGTGGTGCTGAGGATTGAACCCAGTGCCTCACACTTTTGAGGCAAGCTCTCTACCACTGAGCTACAACTCCAGCCCTTTATTGTTCTCTCTTTGGAGATGAACTCCCACTCCTCCACCCCTACTCCCAGCTATGCACACTGCTTGAGCCTTATTATACTTTCACTCATAGTAGAATAATAAAATTCTATTGGTTGGCTCTTCAAGTCTGACTTTACATTTTCTTTTGTAAGGACACAAGAACTTAAGTTTGGAGCTTCATCTCCCAATTCTCCTGTGATGCAACATCTGCACATTTTATTTGGATTATTAAGAAATAATAATAAAAGGAATTCATCTTTTAGAATGAATTTGTGATGTCAGTATATTTAATAAATCAAACCTGTATTTTATATGTCATTAATCATCCTTCTTTTTTCTTGTGGTAAAATAACCTAAAATTTACCATTTTCACCATTTTCTTTTTTTTTTTTTTTAGAGTGAGAGAAGGAGAGAGAGAGAGAATTTTTTTTAATATTTCATTTTTTAGTTATTGGTGGACACAACATCTTTGTTTGTATGTGGTGCTGAGGATCAAACCTGGGCCGCACGCATGCCAGGCAAGCGCGCTACCGCTTGAGACACATCCCCAGCCCATTTTCACCATTTTCAAGTATGCAGTTCACAGCATTAAGTAAATTAACTCTGTTGTGTGATGATGTTCATTATCATCATCTCTCTCTAGAATGTTTTTCATCTTCCCAAACTGAACTTCTCTATCCATTAAATAATAACTCCCCATTTCCTCCCTCTCCACCCATGGTAACTCCTTTCTCTTTCTGTCTCTAAGAATTTGACTGCAGTAGGTACCTCATAAAGTGGAATTATATATAGCATTTGTTCTTTTGTGATTGGCTTATTTCACTTAGTATAATGTTTTCAAGTTACATTCATTTTGCAGCATTACTCAGAATTTCCTTTCTTTTAAAGGCTGAATAATATTCCATTGTAAGTATAATAGTACACTTTGTTTATGTACTCATCACCATCAAGAGACTTGAGTTGCTTCCTCCTTTTGTCTACTTTGAATAAGCTGCTGTAACTTCACTTTTGAGTATAAACCCAGAAGAACTATTGGATCGTACTATAATTCCATTTTTAATTTTTTGAGGAATAGTTATACCTTATGACATGAATATTTGCATATGAACTAAAGTGATGTGAACACTTTGAAAAATGGTAGTGTTTATATATGCAAAAATTTTTAAAAATTGGGCTTGGCATGTAGTTTAGAGGCAAAGTATTGGCTTAGCAAATATTGAGGCCCTGAGTTCCATCTCCAGCACTGGGGTGAGGGGGAGAAAAACATTTTTCATGTAAACATGTGAGGTAAAACATTGAGCTCAAATAATTCCAGTCTGTTTTGAGAGACCCTAAATAGAGATTTGTTTTTGCTGAGATGGGCACTTTTCCCTTTGTCTTCCAATTAGCTAAACTACAGCTATATCTTTTTTTTTTTTTTTAACACAATGCCTTATTTATTTATTTATTTTTTATGTAGTGCTGAGGATGGAACCTAGGTCCCGCCCGTGCTAGGTGAGTGCTCTACTGCTGAGCCACAATCCCAGCCCTACAACTATATTCTTATGTTGACTGGGATGGCAATGACTACTTGGGTCCACAATCTTTTTAATCTTTTAAAATTTTTTTAGTTGTTGATGGACCTTTATTTTTTATTTATTCATTTATATGCAGTGTTGAGAATTGAATTCAGTGCCTTACACATGCTAGACAAATGCTTTACCTACACAGCTACAACCCCAGCCCTAAGGTCCATAATCTTTTGATTTAGAGCTATGAACTTTGCCAGATTTTCCTTTTCCTTAGGAGAATGAAAATGTTTTTTAAAAAATTGCATGTATATGAAATGCATATTTCTTTAAAAGGAACTCTTTGTCCATTTCTGGGTTATTTGTTCATAATTAAAAGTTCTGTAAGGTAGACCTCTACATTTTTTTAAAACAAGAGCTCTGGTCTTTTTATATCTATATTTTATTTTATTTATTTTTACGTGGTACTGAGGATTGAATCCAGTGTCTTGCACATGCCAGGCGAGTGCTCTACCACTGAGCCCCAGCACCAGCCCCATGATCTGTGTATTTTTAAAAGGCATGCCTGAATCCTTAATGAAGGCAATAGTATCCATATGGATGGGGTTTAGAGTCCATGAATTCTATCAAAAAATATGAAATTCAAAAACTTTTCTATAGGGTTGGTTCAGTTTTTGTCAAATTCTTGCAAAGGGTCTGTGACTCAGGCTTTAACATTATGTTCTTCAAAAGGTCTTTTGCAGATTCCTTGGACAGATTCCTTCTTGTATTCTCCCAATCATTTAGTCAATGCCTGCCTTTCCCAAAAGATTCTAAGTTCCTAACACATGTTTGGGATTTTTTTTTTTATTCAAGGTTTATTCTTTTTATCCAACATAATGCCTGGAAAACAAGCAGGTACTTAAGATGTATCTGTTTTTACAAATAAATGAATATATGAATGAATAAATGAAGGAAAGAATAAGATGATAAGGCAAGCAAAGAGATGTAATGTCATTTATATGTAGTAGAGTATTAACAAGTACTCTTCTGGATAAGGGAGGAACAGAATTCACTATGTGCCACAAAATCATGATTGTGGTGAAGAACTTAAAAAAGATAAATTGTTCCATCTAAATTACCTGAGAGGTATTGATTGATGCACTCTCCTCATTTTCTTTGGTAGTTCTGTTTTAACATAAAGAAAATTATTTCACTCAATGATGGAAAGAGGGAATTTTGTTCAATAATAAAGATTTTCATTTTCAACTTTTAAGATGTCATAAATTATATCCTTTAACTTACTAAATATAACACCATTATAAACTCAAGCTTAGAAAATTGAATATTAATGAACAAACCAATAGCTTGATTGTTTACACAAATGTACATGTACTTGAAAATTTGTTAACACTTTAAAATAACTTTATTTTTATTATAAGTGTAATATATACTCATAATATTTCAACAAAAAATATGTAAACAAGGTAGAATATAGCTTTCCCCACTCATTGTACTCTGGTACACAGCAACACAATGTAGTCTCTCAGAATAATTGTGACAATTTATTCTAAAATTTTCTTTTACCCAAAGTTGTATTTGAGTGTTTATCGCCCAACATTTTTTTGTTTTGGTATTATACCACTGAGCTATATCACCATCCCTTTTTATTTTTATTTTTTATTTTGAGGCAGGGTCTCACTAAATTGCCCAGGCTTGCCTCAAACTTGAAATTCTCCTGCCTTAGATTTCCAAGTTGCTGGTTTTACAGGTATGCTCCACTGTGTATGGCTCTCCTCACATTCTTTTTGTGCGTATGTGTGTGGTATTAGGGATTGGACCCAGGGTTGCTTAACCACTGAGCCACATTCCCAGCCCTTTAAAAATTTTTATTTTGAGATAGGGTCTCACTAAGTTGCTCAGCCTCGCTTTGAACTTACAATCCTCCTGCCTTAGCCTCTTGAGCAGCTGTGATTACAGGCATGCACCACAGCTCTCCTCACATTCTTAACAATAAGGGCTTTACCAATCTTTTGGGTCTTTGCCATTGTAAAATTTTAGAAAAGATAAAGCATTTCAGTTTGTATCTCTATGGTCATTAATAATGTAAATTGCTTTTTTATACATTTTATGGTACTTCTATTTCTTCCTCTATGAATTATTTATTCACATTAATTTGTATCTTTAATGTAAAACACAGAACAGAGACAAAAGAACATAGAGTTTAAAGGATAATACTAAGTGAATAGCTATAAATATACCACTGTGCTTAAGCAACTGAAATAACTTGTTCCTTTGGAGTATCTATACACCTCTTTTCAAATCTATCTGCTTTCATCTCATACCTTCAGAGACAGCACTATGAAAGTTTGTGTTAATCATTCTCTTGGTGTTTTAAAAAGTATTCTCTCTCTCTCACAAACAGACAGACAGACAGACAGACAGACACACACACACACATAAATCCCCAAAAATACATTATTAGGTTTTATACATTATTAGGTTTTACCTTTTAAAATTTATATTTTATATACACACACAGTTTATATTCTTTTGTGATATGCTTTTTTCACTCAAAATTAATTTTTTGACATTCATTATGTTAACACAACTTGTTATAGTTTATATCCCCCATTTTTAAATTTGTTTATTGTTATTTTGCTTATGGACTTAGATGATCTTTCCTATACTGTACATATATATATATATTTTGGTATTAGGGATACTTAACCACTAAGCTACATCCCCAACCTGGAAAAAAAATCTATTTATTGATTTATTTTTCTTATTTTATTCTTTTTTTTTACTTTTAAGGTACAATATAGAATCCAAGTGTACAGTAACAATAATCACAGGTCTGCATGGGTGAACAAAAATCAAAGGATAGCTTTAAATATCTTATACATTTAGGAAACAGTGCTAATAATCAGAAATAGACTTAGTCAAAGCATACATATATACGACAGGTCTTCAAGTGATAGTGTGGCCTTTCTGTGTCGGATACAATGTATAAATGAGAACACTTATTGGTTGTCTTGTCAGTAAAATTATATAAACTTTCATTTTATAAGCTTTTACATAAGACTTAGACAAAGCTTAGATAGATAGTTCTCAGATGCATACATATACCTAGTTACATATATTTTGGATATCAACAATATTGTTATGATCTAAATAACAGTTGTTTGTTTAACCAATTACAAAATAATCATTTGACTTTAAAACAGCTACAAACCTAATTCCTTTAAGACTTAGTTTCCCCAAGTAATAAAACCTAACAAAAAAACAAGAAAATCATTGATAGATAAGAGCAGATTAACAATTCTGACTTTTCTTCATATCAGTACATTAAAGTTTAAATAATTTTGTGCTAATTATAGCCAATTTAATCATAAACACAAACTTTTTGAAATTTACCTTCCACAAACCTTCTGTGACTTACTTTGACATGTACAAATTTACATCCTTAGTTTTAGTCCCCTTTCATCTTGAACTTTAGTCCAAGAATATTACTTCGCCAGCAAAATACTTTCTCATCAAGATACATTTCTTTCACCTCCTAACTTTCCATATTAAAATATTTCCATACCTATAACTTTCTTTTATCATTTTAGTTTCAGACCCTTTTTAAATTTTTTTTAGTTTAAATATCCATATATATTTTCACATATTCATGTTTATATATATTCATGTATATATATATGAATATACCATAACAGCAACCAAATTCCTGCTCATACATTTTCATATATATATTCAGTTACATAATTATAAACTATAACTAAAACAAAACATTAACCTCAAAAGAAAAATAACTATATACAAATTTACATCCATTTAAGTATTTTCATGTATATTTTTACATATATATTCATTTTTGTATTCCTACATTTGAATAAAAATTTCAATCCCTAAACTAACCCTATTTATTTTTCTATATTAGTCCTATACCCACCATATACCTTGGAGAACCTCTATACATATAAACTATAACATTTTACATGATTGTACCTGTGTATTTGGGGATATAAATTCATAAATTCACAAATTCACATAAAAACCCATGGATATTTTATATGTATATGCTCATTTCCATAGGTATAACCTAGATTTCACACATAACAATATTGCTTACCTTAAAAATATCCATAGATAAAAGTATATATATATAAATTTTGATATGTGATATTACCTCTATATTCTTATTTATATTCATATATATTGACATATATGTTCCAAAGGTAACCCATCCCCTAAACCAAAGCCATAATTCAGAACTAAATCTAGTCTTACCCATAATCATGAGCCTTTTTAACAAAAATTATAAATATTACTTTGAATATCCATATATATTTTCACATATATATTCTGTATATATTTATATACATTCATATACATATATATATACCCTAATGGCAACCAAAATCCTACCTGTAGGTTTTTATATATATTCTGTTACATAATCATATCTAGAATCTTAAGAAAATTATAAACATTCATCTCAAAAGAAAAATAATTATATACAAATCCATACCCATTTAAATATTTTCATGTATATTTTTACATATATATTCATATTTGTTTTTATATATGGAAAAAAGTGTTCAAACCCAATATTACTGTGTTGTGGTCTATTTGATTCTTGAAGTTGAGAAGGGTTTGCTTGATGTACATAGATGCTCTGTTGTTTGGGTCATAAGTATGATTGTTGTCTTGTTGACATATAATTCCCTTAAGCAATATGAAATATCCTTCTTTGTTCCTTGTGATTAACTTTGGCTTGAAGTCCACGTTATCTGATATGAGAACAGAAACCTCTGCTGTTTATGTCATCCATATGAGTGGTATGTTTTTTCCTATCCTTTCACCATCAGTTTGTGGATGTCTTTGCCTATGAAGTGAGTTTCTTGGAGATAGCACATTGTTGGGTCTTGTTTTTAATCCAATCTGCCAGTCTATGTCTTTTTTAAGAATTTTTTTTAGTTATACATGGACAAAAGATCTTTATTTTGTTTATCTATTTTAATGTGATGCTGAGGATTGAAACCAGTGCCTCACACGTGCAAGGCAAGCGTTCTGCCACTGAGCCACAACCCCAGCCCCAGTCTATGTCTTTTGATTAATGAATTTAGGCCATTAATGTTCAAGATTATTATTGAAATATGATTTGTGCTCCCAGTTATTTTGGTTTATTTCTACTTTTTAATTTGAATTAGTTTATCCTTTGATTAACTATTCCTTTAATATAGTTCTTCCCTTTGCTGGTTTTCACTTTTTTTTTTTCATTTCTTCTTCATGGAATATTTTGTTGAGAATATTCTGAAGTGTAGGCTTTCTGGTTTCGAATACTTTTAATTTTTGTTTATCATGGAAGGTTCTTATTTCATCTTCAAATATGAAGTTTAATTTGGCTGAATATAGGATTCTTTGTTAGAGCTCAGTATATGTTATTCTAGCACCTCCTAGCTTTGAGGATCTGGGTTAGGAAATCAGCTACGATCTGTATTGGTTACCCCCTCCATGTAATCTGATATTTTTCTCCTATAGCCTTTAAAATTCTATCCTTATTCTGTATGCTAGGCATTTTCATTATAATGTGACATGATGTGGGCCTGTTGTAATTTGTACACTGAGATCCTGTAAACCTCTTATATTTGACTTTCCATTTCATTCTTTAGATTTGGAAAATTTTCTGATATTATTTCATTGAAAAGATTGTGCATTCCTTTAGCTTATATCTTCATGCCTTCATTTATCCTGATAAATCTTAAATTTGTGTTTTTCATGTTATTCCATAATTCTTGGAAGTTCTGTTTATTGTTTTCTTAACATTTTCTCTCTGGGTCAACTCTATTTTCAAGAGTATATATTCATTGTCTGAGGTTCTGTCTTCCAAATGGTCTAGTCTGTTGGTGATGCTTTCTATTGAATTTTAAATTTGGTTTGTTGTTTCCTTAATTTCAAGGATTTCTGTTAGTGTTTTTTTTTCAGAATCTCTCTTTATTAAAGTGATCTTTTGCTACCTCTATTTGCACTCTTACATCATCTTTTACTTTGCAGATTAATTTAACCATGTACATTCTAAACTCCTTCTCTGACATTTCTTCCACTGTGTTGTCAATGTTTTTTGTTATTGGAGTATCTTGGTTTGCTTGGGGTGATTTGTTCTGTTGCCTTTTCATGTTGTT